CACCTTACCTATGTACTCTCTCTAGCACCTTACCTATGTACTCTCTCTAGCACCTTACCTATGTACTCTTACACACAACTTAGCTATGCACTGTGATAGTAATTAATGAACTAAAGGGTCTTTGTTCCAAGGAAGTATACAGACCTGGAGAATGAAATCCTCCATGATCCTCCTGTACTCCTCCATACTGATGCTACTTGGCACCAGTGTCAGCCGGCCACTGGCAGTGGACATTGTGAAGAACCAGGTCAAGTTCATGGCACAGACCACAGTGGTGAGGATACAGAGACTTACGGATGAGGTATGGATGGTCAGCATCCTTCAGTCCACAATTTGAGGGGGCCAGGAGGGCTTATAAATGATCAGATGACGCTATATGCTAGGGGCTTTAGATGCATGCATTTGGGCATGCTGGGTATGTGGGATCTTGCTGCTGTAGGGGATTCCTTGACAATGGACAGCTAACAATTAGGGCATAAGCCAGACAGATAATGAATGCAAGACATGGGCTACACAGCAGAGAGAAGTACATGTGTGAATTTTCATACCCATTAGTCTCAGGCTCACAAATTTGGAGAGGTATAACACACAGACTTACTTGATCCGGTTGTTGGTTGCAGCTTACATAATACATTTATAAAGTATTATAAAGATAGCTACAACTATTCACAAAAAGGTTTAACACATTATAGTCATATGTATTATGTTTTATTCATAATGCATTATTAATGAGACCTTCATACGGAATTCATAAAGCACGAGAAACATGGCTATAATGTGTTATGCCTTTTTATAAATACTTATAGCCATGTATAATGCTTTATGAATGTTACAATGAATTATAAGAACAATTATTGATGTTTATGAATATGGGCTTCATGGAAAGTTTAACCAAAATATTTATTTCATAATTTATTTATTATAAGCTTATAAATGAATGGATAGAAAAACACTCAATTACTTGATATTTTCACAATATTTATTCACAGAAGTTTGGATTTGTATGTTTGACGTTATGCGCCATCAAAACAGTGCAACCAATAAGGTGCATAAAGAAATTCAAGAAAATGTTACATTTGTACAAAAGCATTTATATTGAAATTTTAAGAAAAATTGTTCAATGTTCAAATTATACTGTGACACAAATTTTAGTCCATGTTGCCTAGCCACAAAACCGTGCCTATGCTTTATATTGTATAGTGTGTTGTTTTATGTAGTCTGTTTTTGATCTTGACTTGGTCTTGATCTTCTCTCGGTCTCGCCCCACCTTGATCTTGGTCTTGTCTCGGTCTAGCCCCACCTTAGTCTTGTCTCGGTCTCGCCCCGCCTTATTCTTGATCTTGTCTCTGTCTCGCCCTGTCTTGTTCTTGGTCTTGTCTCGGTCTTGCCCTGCCTTGGTCTTGGTCTTGTCTCAGTCTCGCCCCTCCTTGGTCTTGGTCTTGTCTCAGTCTCGCCCCACCTTGGACTTGTCTTGGTTTCTGCCCGCCTTGGTCATGGACTTGTCTTGGTCTTGCCCCGCCTTGCTCTTGTCTTGGTCTTGCCCCTCCTTGGTCTTGTCTCGGTCTCGCCCTGTCTTGGTCTTAGTCTTGCCTCGGTCTTGATACACTCTGGTCTTGGTAATGACTTGGTCTCGGTTTAGGTGGTGTTGACTACATCACTAGTGGGCACACACAAAAATTAATAATTACAAATTTGAATTCAGACAAAATGTTGAATCTGACTTGCCATTTCATTTAAATTTTTTTGCTATTTATAAAATTTAAAATGTCACTGAGGCACATGTAGTAGCTGTAGATGTCACAGGATATTATGGTATGCTCTCCTAGCCTTTCGTTACACAACAAGGAATAACTTTCTGTCTTTTGTTGAAACAGTTCCGAATATCTCCTAACATGGTGTTCAGCGATCTGGAGCTCATACCTGATGTGAGTCTTGACAAGCCGGTTGAAGGTCTGACCACCATCATGGACAGCTTGGACACCTTCCAGATAATTCTCCTCAACCTACAAATGGATGGAGTGAGCCAGGTCCATGCTGACCTTCTGAGCCTGCAGGGCATCATCCAGTCTCTTGCACCATCATTGAACTGCTCCTTGCCCAAGTTGAAAAGCAGCAAGCACCTGGACGCCTTCCTGAAGACCAATGCTGCCTTCCACGTCACCATTGCCAATGTAGCTCTCAACAGACTGCAGAAGTTCCTCAACAAGCTGATCCTAGATCTGGACCAGCTAAAGACATGCTGATAAGATCGGCTACTGCTTAAAATATATTTAACTTATTTTATATGGGTTTTTATTAACACCAAATGCCTCCCTAAAATATTTAAGGTATTTATGAATTTAAATTCCTTTGTACTGTAATTTTAATACCTACATGTTGCACACATGCACTGATGGGATTTTATGCAACTTGGTAATAGTTCTCATGAAACGCAATGAGCAGCGAATGTAATTTGATACCTTTGTAGAAGCAGTATTTTACCTGTGCATTTTATACTTGGTGATGCTGCCAATCGGGATGCTGCTGTCTTTGTGCTCTGTAGCTCCTGTAGTCCTCCTTTGCTCCTCTGTGGGCATCACTTCCTGGCAGACAAATGCGCACAAGCACAGTGAAGTCAGACTGCTTTTAGGGGAATTTAAGTTTCACAATACAAGTACTACAAACAGAATGCAGCTCTGAATAAATGATGAGCTCCATGATCTCTTGATAAAGTGGCCTTACATTACACCATTGCTAGAGGACAGCAGTCTCAGACAGCAGTCCCAGTGTTCGCCTCTGCTATTGGATGGCCATCTCAGACAGCAGTCCAAGTGTTGGCCTCTGCTATTGGATGGCCATCTCAGACAGCAGTCCCTGTGTTAATTTCTGTTACTGGACGACCCTCTCTGACTACAGTCCCTGTGTCAGAATCTGCTATTGGATGGCCATCTCTGACAGCTGTCCCTGTGTCGGTCTCTGTTACTGGACAGCCCTCTCAAATAGTAATACCTGTGTCAATTTTTCCTATAGGATGGCCCCTTCAAACAACAGTCCGTGTGTCGGTCTCTGCTATTGGGCGGCCCTCTCAGACAACAATCCTTGTGTCAATCTCTCCTATTGGACAGCCCTGTCAGACAATAGTCTCTGTGTCAGTCTCTGCTATTGGACAGCCCTCTCATACAGCTGTTCTTGTGTAAGTCTCTTATTGGACTCTCAACTCAGATAGTTGTCCCTGTATTGGTCTATCCTATTGGATGGCCCTCTCAGATAGTAGTTCCTGTGTCAGTCTCTCCTATTGGATGGCCCTCTCAGACTGCAGTCTCTGCTACCTGATTTTCACAAAACTTTGTTACTCCTCTATCAGCACATGAGTATGTTTACAGTGTGTATGAATGTTTATTTACTCACATTATTTCAGGTCTTCTTTGTGTTGTTTCAGTAGAATGTAGTACATTCCTCATGGTTATTTTTTATTCTTCCTCAGCAACTTCGCTTTTAATAAACTTGTGTTTAATACATTCAGTTTTATATTGGCAGTCAAACCCAAAACTGAAGATGGCGCTCAAATCTAGTGTTCCAATCAAGAAGGAAGCTAATACAGACAATTTTTAATGAAATTATTGGAAAATGTGCTTTACATCAACGCTAAACCACATTGTATTTCAGGAGTTACCTACTTTTTCTTCATTTTTGAATTATTTACTCTTAAACACCCTGTCACTAATCCAACTGTCACGATCCGACACGGAAGCAGGTGACGGAAGCCGTGAATATGAACAAAAAGGGCTTTATTGCTGGGGTAACAGACTCCAAGACACACGTAACGTCAATGACCGGACTGGGGAAACGAACGGAAACGCGGATTAAATACACTGGACTAATGACAACAATCAGAAACAGCTGGTAAACACGGGGAATCCACATGAGGTTAACAAGGGGGCGTGGCACAGGAGGATTGGCACGATCGGGGTGTGACACCAAAAGTACTAAAATGGATTTTTTAAATGTAAACTGTTTTTGGCCAGCATTCATAAAACTTGATAGCATAAGCTGATAGTTAATACTTAAATGAATTGATTAGCTGATGAAATGAACGTTTTTTTTGGTCACTTCTCAGTTGATCATGAAGTTTCTTCATTTGCATTTAATGAAAAACTGAAATAACTTTTAAGGAGCTTCTATGGAACATTCAAGTTTTTTTGTCATTCAAATCTTGTTCATCTACCAATTTCCAACCACTTTTCCAGTACAGGGTCATGTTTAGGTCACCCTGGAAACTGTAGGGCATGAGGCTGGCATCACAGAGCACACACTGCAGACACACTGATTCATCTCACTGAAAAATGCCCTGTTTTTGAACTGTCAGGGGGAAAGGAAGCTGTTCACACAAAGAGCAGGGATGAGATTAAAACTGCCATGTAGGAATTGTGAGATTCAAATTTCAGCAGAGCCCCCAATGAAACACCCCCATAAATGCTAATTGAAATTACAGTCAACACTGAAACACCACCATGAACACTTCCTAAAATTACAGTCTACACTGAAACACCACCGTGAACACTTCCTAAAATTACAGTCTACACTGAAACACCACCGTGAACACTTCCTAAAATTACAGTCTACACTGAAACACCGGCATAAATGCTATCTGAACTTAGTCTACACTGACACACCCCCATTAACGTTATCTGAAATTGCAGTCTACACTGAAGCACCCCCATAAAGGATATCTGAAATACCTGGACCATCTGAGTCCAAGCACTTGCTGCATCTTAGGAACATCAGCTTCATCAGCTACGCCACCCACCAGGAGGCACAGTACCCACCCCTGCTACTCTAAGGACAGTACCCACCCCCAGCACTGTGAGGGAGAGTACCCTCCTCCGGCACTGTGACAGAGAGTACCCACCCTCGGCACTGTGGGGACAGTACCCACCACTGGTACTCTAAGGACAGTACCCACCCCCAGCACTGTGAGGGAGAGTACCCACCCTCGGTACTGTGAGGACAGTACCCACCCTCAGTACTGTGAGGACAGTACCCACCCCCACCATAGCCCATTCAAACCCACACCATCAGCAAGAAGCAACAGCAGCGTGACATCAAGGAACACAAGATTACAAAACAGCCTCTACCCAGAAAGATTATCACCCACTGCCCCCCTTAACACTCTCCGCCCCCACCCCGTACACTGAAACCTGGTACATAGGAATGGCCATTTCTCCACCTCTCATTGCAGTATATGATTATATGTTTACATTGCTATCATAATTGTTTTTTTATGTGTTAATTTTGTGTGGAACAGGCAGAGTGACATTTTCGTTACATAATGTGACTGACTGCAAATGACAACAAACTCTTCAGTCTTCTGTCAATAGCAACTAAAGGCCATCATGTCTGATCTACAGTTAAATGCAGTACACGACGTAAACACTGTACGCCAGCAAAGACGGAGCGCTGCTTCTGAATTGGGAGAGAGGCACAAACCCACCTGGTCTGTCTGCACAGAGCTGCTCTGCCTGTACTGGGCGAGAAAGAGCTACTGTCTGCTCTTCTGTGAGGTTACACTGCCCCCGTGTGGTGGCTCTGTCCTCAGCAGGGCAGCCTGAGCCGGGCTGCTTTGACAAGGAAATGCAGTGGCGCCACAGTGAAGCTCACACAGCACTCACGATCACGTAGCGCTCAATTTCACGCAGTACATGGAACTCACAGTCACACTCATGATGACATGGCACTCAAGTGCTTATGGTCATACAAAGTTCACAGTCACACAGCGAACATGATCACATAGCACTCATGGTCACACGACAGTCATGGTCACGTGGCACTCAAGTCACGTGGCACTCACAGTCACACAGTGTTCATGGTCATACAGCACTCACAGTCACACAGCACTCATGGGCACATGGCAGTCACGGTCACACAGCAGTCATGGTCACACGGCAGTCATGGTCACGTGGCACTCAAGTCACGTGGCACTCACAGTCACACAGCACTCATGGTCACACGGCAGTCATGGTCACGTGGCACTCAAGTCACGTGGCACTCACAGTCACACAGCGTTCATGGTCATACAGCACTCACAGTCACACAGCACACATGGGCACATGGCAGTCATGGGCACACAGCGCTCATGGGCACACAGTGCTCATGGTCACACAGTGCTCATGGTCACACGGCACTCACGGTCACACAGCACTCATGGGCATATGGCAGTCATGGTCATACAGCCGTCATGGTTTCAAGCAGTCACACAGCAGTCACAGTCACACAGCAGTCACGGTCACACAGCAGTCATGGGCACATGGCAGTCATGGGCACACAGTGCTCATGGTCACACAGCGCTCATGGTCACACAGCGCTCACGGTCACATGAAACTCATGATCACATGACAGTCACAGTCACACAACGTTCACAGTCACATGGTGCTCATGGTTACGCGGCACTCGTGGTCACACAGCACTTACGGCCACATGGCACTCACAGTCACACGGTGTTCATGGTCACATGGCACTCATGGCCAAATGGTATTCGTGGTCAAATGCTGCTCATGATCACATGGAGCTCACGGTCACATGACAGTCATGGTCAAACGGCACTCATTGTCACGTGGCACCCACGGTCGCAGATGGGCACACTGACAGGAATGCCGGTCCAAACCTGGAAGTGGTTCAGAGCGTAGTGATGGAAAGTAAATCGCTATTCCTGAGAAACACGGCACTGCCTGTAACACTGGAAAGTCTTGTTTTTCAGAAGTCCGGCTGCTCAGACTTGTCAAAACAAATGCTTGGCACCATCGGCGAGGCAGAGAACGGCAAACCACAGGCATGCCAGAGGCTGGATCGCTCTCCGGCACGCGAAAGTCTCCATTTCCAGTTGCATCACATTAAATGCACAACAAACCGTGCTGCTAACCTGGGTGGGTCTCCTGGCCAGCAGCGAGCATCAGGGCAGCAGACTGTTCATGGGCAGTGACCCCCCCTTTAGACCCCCACTCTTAGATTCAGTGGAATAATGGAAATATCACGAGAACCTGTGGTCCTCTGGGCAGCCGGTCCGGCTGTTTAACTCTCAGTCGCTGTCAGAACCAGCGACCCAAGAACAAAACTGCAGCATCATCAGTCTTGGCAGGATTTGCACCAGCGGTCTCGAGAATCCAGAGTAGCGGCTACAAGCCAGACGTTCAAGTCACTCATCTGGACTCAGGTGGACCAGGTGTGTTCCTGAGCTCTGTGTCTGGGGCACAGATAGGCTGGGAAAGGACCCCATCAGTCGGGTAGTAATGACACAGCGGCTCATTAACACTGCGAGTGGCTCAGCTCTCCCAGACGACCACTGACTCACTTCGAATCTTACAATGAGCCAATTAGCACACTTATAAGAGCTAATATTAGGACAGCATAGAGGAATATGGATAAACTTTTAAACTGCTTTTCAATCTGGGTGGTGAGAGAACTTAAAAACATTTTCCCTACAATATATTTCTTTTTGTTCTTTTATCAGGCACATGATAAGCCTGAATTATTTTTGTTTTTCATGTAAAAGTTGGTAACTAAACCTTCCTATCCTGGCCATTTGAGCCAAAATTACCCAGAAATCATTGGCTATGGTGATACTGACACTAGGGCTGTGTAAAAACACATCTCAGTTAGGGTGGCCCTGTGGGCCACAGGCTGAAACATCTTTTAGGATAGTATCACACTCCTGTGCTGTGGTGGCCTCAGTAGCAGTTGCTGCCTTTTCAAGGAAGAAGAGGGTGCAAGACCTATGAGAATGATATCTCCAGCAGGGGCAGAAGACCGTGTGAAGCCTGTGAGAC